TCCCCTCCCACCGGATCCCGCCGCGCAGCCCTCACCGGCCGTCAACACGGGCCTCTGCCGGATCGCGTTATCAAGGAGGCCCGAGCAATAGCCCAAGAAGCCGAAGTAGGCGAGCCGCGGGTCCGTCAGCTTGGGCGGGGGCAGGCTCCGGGCCTCATCCGGCAGGAACTCTAAGGGCCTTCGGCCCGGCCGTCCGGTCATCATGGTGAGGCCGCTCTTACTTGAGGCCTGGCCTCAGACCGCCCACTGGGAAGAAAATCACCACGACCACCGCCGGGTCCCGCGTCCTAAACTTTCTCCTCCCGGCACCGGGCTGAAGGGCACTGCGCAGGGCGGTGCAGCGCGCAAACGCTTCCCCGGACGCACTGCTGCACGAGCTTGCGCGGGAGGTTCCGGGGCACTAAGTGACCCACCCGGCTAGCCTGCCCGCGGGTGCTCATTTCAGCCGGCAGGGTAGGTACCAGGAGTCCAGGGGGTACACGAAAGGAGCCAAGTTGGGAGACTAGGAGGTACTGCTCTTTTTCGCCCAACCTTCCCCACCCGGAATTGTCTCTTCCTCTCCCGCCCCTGAATGTCCCTTCTGCAAGAATTTATCTTTGCATCCAACATCTACAAGTGAACTTGATGGATAGTTTCAAGAAACGTAATTAATTGAATTCCCATAAAAGCTGTTTTCATTTTCTGGGTTTCCAGCCGTCCATTCGTACCGGCACACCCTGCAAAGCCTAAAATTAAGGTCCAGCCATCAACAAAGTATTCAGAGGACCCAGGACTGGATCCTTTAGCTAAACTCTTGAAATTCAGCCTGGGCGGCAGCACCTTAAAAATCTTCACCTTGCCTAACTGGTTTGGCTTCGTGGATAGAGCGTCAGCCTGCGGACTGAAGGGTCCCGGGTTCGATTCCAGTCAAAGGCATGTACCTTGGTTGCCGGCACATCCCTAGTGGGGGGTGGGCAGGAGGCAGCTGATTGATGTTTCTCTCTCATCGATGTTTCTAACTCTCTATTCCTCTCCCTCTCTGTAAAAAAAAAACCAATAAAATACATTAAAAAAATTTTTTTCACCTCTGGGTCGTCAGGTCTTGTACGTGACTGAGGGAAGAGGTGTTTTCTAAAGGTTTGAGGAAAGAAAGAAGGACGCTATAACATTCTGCTATAATTGTTCAGTCTCTGCTCACCTACCTCCAATACTGGGGAGTGTCTATCTTGGAACAGTTTTTTCTTCAGCAAACCCTTCCTGATATTGAGCGAAAATATTTTCTTTTTGTGTGCATTCATTAGTGGGATCAATACTAATTAAACCAGAAGTTAATACAAAGGTATATGTATAAACCAAGGTGGAATAATTAATTATCAATTAAGAGTCATTAAATAAAGGACAGACCTTAGGCCTATAGAAAGCACTCCCAGATCCGCTAGATTTCAAGTTAGGACTCTCCCAAGGAACACATATTGCAACACTTTCCTGGAAGGCAGCAAATGCTTCGAAGATTCATACTCTCTGACCCAGTAATTACATGTCTGGGAATCTGTCCTATGGAAATAGTATGTCATTTTGCACAAAATTTCTTTTTTTAACCACAGTGTTTCTTTGAAAATATCAGAAGAATGAAAACAAACAAAAAAATCTTCCATAGTAGGATTATGTAAATTTTGAATATTAGATGAATCATTAGGCAAACACTTAAATATTTAAATGATACTTACACATCCTTCTCTTCTTCATCCATCTATGACCAATAAATATTGAAAGAATTCTCAGAACTTTTCTAATCATCATGGAAATTCACATTAAAATATTTTTTAAATGTATTAGTAACCTTGTATAGCCAGAACAATCTTGAAAAAGAGCAAAATTGGAAACCTCACAATTCCTGATTTCAAAACAACAGTAATAAAGACTGTGTGGTAATGACATGTAGATATATAGACCAGTGGAACAAAATAGAGAGCCCAGAAGTAAAACCATCTCAGAAGAAACATCTCAAATTAAGTATATCCAAAAATAAAATTATTCTTCACATTGAGAAAGTTAAGAAATATTTTCAGGCCTTGTCTGGCTAGCTTAGTTGGTTAGAGCATTATCCTGATTCGCCAAAGTTGTGTGTTTGATCCCTGGTCAGGGCACATACAAGAATCACCCAATAAATGCACAAATAAGTTGAACAGTAAATCAATGTTTCTCTCCCTTCCTTTTTCTCTAAAAAAAAAAAGAAATCAATAAAAAATATTTTCAAATATAAGGAATAATATAAAAAATAGCTACATTTCTGTCACTATAACATTTTGTTGTATTTGCTTCAGGTCTTGATTTTAATTATTTTTATTGTTGACAGTATTACAAATGTCTCCCTTTTTCTCCCTTTTTGCCCCTCTCTACCTAATTCCCACCCCACCCCAGGCCTTCCCCCATGCTATTGTCTGTGTCCATGGGTTATGCATATATGCATATTGCTTCAGGTATTTATTGCCTGATGTATATATGTAAAATACACATATACACAAGATTTGTATATATTCTCCTTTAAATTTTTAAAATATATTTTTACTGCCCTAGTCAGTTTTGCTCAGTGGATAGAGTGTCAGCCTGCAGACTGAAGGGTCCCAGGTTCGATTCCAGTCAAGGGCACATGCCCAGGTTGTGGGTTCAATCCCCAGTAGGGGGTGTGCAGAAGGCAGATCAATAATTCTTTTTCATCATTGATGTTTCTCTCTCTCCCTTCCTCTCTGAAATCGAGAGAGAGAGAGAGAGAGAGAGAGAGAGAGAAAGAGAGAGAGAGAGAGAAACATCAATGATGTGAGAGAATCATTGATCGGCTGCCTCCTGTAAGCCCCCTACTGGGAATCGAGCCCACAACCCGGGCATGTGCCTTGACTGGGAATGGAACCATGACCTCCTGGTTCATAGGTCGATGCTCAACCACTAAGCCATGCTGGCAGGGCTATATTCTCCTTTAAAAACATGTAAATAAAATAGTACAGTGCTAAAACTCCTTTTGATCTCAGTCTTCATTCTCATTCTCTTTCCTTCCTTCCAAGAGGCAACCTTGGTCCTAATTCCATATATTATTAGTGTCATTTTAATATTCACATTCATAGATGAATTGATAGACAACATAAAACATGATGTGTGTGTGTATGGTTTTAAAACTGTACACATTCTCTACAGATTATCTCCTTGTTTAGTATTGGAACTGCTGAATTTCAGAATATATGAATTTTTAATTTTACTAGGTAATATCAAGTTCCTCCATAAAGAAACTGATCCAATTTCCATTTCTATCCACAATTTACATGAACATAGCAATATTTTCTATTATCAGACTTTAGTTTTTGTCTATGGTAAAAAATGGGATCTCAATGTTGTTTTAATTTGCATTTCCCTATTATCTAGTGAAAATTGTATCTTTTTAAAAAAAATATTTTTTATTGATTAGAGAAAGAGGAAGGGAGAGGGATAGAGAGATGGAAACATCCAGCCCACAACCCGGGCATATGCCCTGACTGGCAATCAAACTAGAGATCTCCTGGTTCATGGGTCGACGCTCAACCACTGAGCCACACTGGCCAGGCAATAGTATCTCTTTCTACAGTTATTTGCCATTTGGGTCCCTTTCTGTTTGCCTAGTTATATACTTTGCTTATTTTCTTTAGGGTTGTCTTTTTTCTAAATGATTTGTAGGAATTTTTAATTGAAGTAATATAAATCCTTTGTCTGTTATATATGTTACAAAATACTCCCCCCCCCATCTGTTGTTTGTCTTTTAACTTTATTTATAAGGTCTTCTATTATACAGAAGTTAAAGTTCTGATGTAGTAATATTTCTCTAATATTTTTCTTTATGGTTTGTGTCTTTAAAAAAATCTTTCCAAAGCAAGGTCCTAAATTTTTTTAAAAGAATTTTACAGTTTCCAAAACAAAGCTCTTTCTTGATATCACTTTTATGCATTTCCCCACCTCAGTAAATGGTGCCACTATCCATTCAGATGCAACACCTGAAATACAGGGATCATCTACGATTCTTTGCTTACCCTCAAGCCCTATATCTAATCCATTTCCAACTACTGTCAATTCCAATTCCAAATCCATCTGCTTCTCCATCACACTGCCACCACTCTTCTTCCATATTCCATAACCTTGCTCCCAGATAATTCTCTGCAGAGTAACTTTTTGAAAATATATTTCAACCTCCAAGTAAATAAGAAATGTAATAGAAAAATTGATAAAGAGCATAAACACTTTTCAGAAGAAAAAGTACAAATGGCTCTTAAACACAGGAAAAGACTCTAATATCTCTCATAAGAGAAATGCAAATGAAAATTACCTTGAGATATCATTGGCAAAGATCTAAAATACTAATGACACACTCATTACGTAGGTAAGTTTGTGGGGAAACAGACATCATTCCTTGCCTGGGGAACATAAACTGGTGCAACTTCTATGATGAATTTGACAACATCTACCAAAATTATAAATGCACATAGCCTTCAGAGTAGTTTCCAGGTGGAAGTCATTAACAAGGAAAACTATACCAGTGCTGATCTGGAAAGACAGCTCATCTCCCCTGCCCCTGCAGTTAGTTCTCTTCTGGTTCTGGCTCTATGCCTTTCCTTGGGGAAAGATACAGTGGCCAAGAATACCAAGTCCCTCCCACTTTCCTTTTATCTTGTGAGATTTTGGTACACTGTATATAAATTAAACAGCAGATAAAAAATGACTTGTTTATAGGTCTTGTTTAAATTTTGATAGTAACTTTGGCTTGTTCTTCTTGATTTTGCTTCATTCTAGGTTTTCAAAATATTTGGAAACTATACTATTTAGTAATTGCTGAAACCTAGCAATTTGTTGTTGAAAATCGCCCACATCTCTGCGAAGTTTAAATATACAAATACAAAGTATATTGCTTGTGAGAGTCCTGGGCTGTAGGCAGAAGTCCGAGTTCTAGTCTGCGCTGGCACCAACAAGCTATGCCTGTCTCAGGAGTCATTGCACTCTTGGCAATATAAGGGGTTGAATTGCTTTAAAGACTATATTAGGACTTTGAATTCTTAAGCCAAACAAAAACTCACATGAAGCTTAATATATGAAATAGATCAAAGCATATTTGCTTTGGTAGAAGATGGGACAGGGCCCAGAGTCTCTGAGGCAACTCTCGAGAACCTTAAGGCAGTGATGGCGAACCTTTTGAGCTCGGCGTGTCAGCATTTTGAAAAACCCTAACTTAACTCTGGTGCTGTGTCACATATAGAAATTTTTTGATATTTGCAACCATAGTAAAACAAAGATTTATATTTTTGATATTTATTTTATATATTTAAATGCCATTTAACAAAGAAAAATCAACCAAAAAAATGAGTTCGCGTGTCACCTC